GTTTCAGCAAACGGTCCAACCTATTACGGATATTTATCTTGGATTATATAGTGCAATATCACCAGCGAATGACGTGATTCATGCTAAAAGACGTTTAGCAGACAAAGCAATATGATTGGTGAAACTTAACAGCTTTCCAGAGCTCAAACATACATTTGTTTTCTGTCATTGTGGGGACTTTCCATTGACTTCAGTTGTTTTCATAATGAGCTAGTTATGTTTTCTATCCACTAACCCTGAGAGAAACCTTTTGAAATTGTCTTAGATGTTGTAGCACACTTTTAGCATGCATATGTAAGCTGATTTCAGGTTACTTATACTTTTGTGGACACATGGGTTCTATAATGTAGCAAAATCTAGTGCAGAGACATTCTGTCTTGACGATGCTATTGACACTAGGTGCAGGTGAAACAGATGATAAGAGAGTGTGTGTGTGTGTGTGTGTTTGTGTGTGGTGCCAGACAGTGATCAATTCTGTGACTCCTATTTGTCTTTGTAGGTTGGGCTATTAACAGTCCTGTCTTTAATTAAACTCATGTGGACCAGCAGGGCGTATTAATCTTTAGTCTTTTTTTTTTTTTCCCTGAAGTGAACAAAATCCATCCGACAGATAAAAAAGAATGTTGTTGAAATTAATTTAGTACATGACAATAATTGAAGATCATTGTATTATGTTAAGTGTGTACTTCAAAGCAATAGATCACCCAAAAATGAACATTTTCAAAAAAATGAATAAAAAAATACCCTCAGGCCATCCGAGATGTAGATGAATGTAGATGGATTTGTTTCTTACAAACACACAGCTTCTCACTTCACAAGACATTAATTGATGGACTGGTGTAGTGGTGTGGATTACTTGAGGATTATTGTTATGTTTTTATCAGCTGTTTGGACTCGCATTCTGACGGCACCCATTCACTGCAGAGGATCCATTGGTGAACAAGTGATGCAATGCTACATTTCTCCAAATCTGTTCCAATGAAGAAACAAACTCATCTACATCTTGGATGGCCTGGGGGTGAGTAAATTTTCAGCAAATTTTCATTTTAATAGCTTAGCATTTCTATTGCAATCATTTACATTTAGTCATTTAGCAGACGCTTTTATCCAAAGCCACTTACAAATGAGGACAATGGAAGCAAATCAAAGTGCTATAACAAGTCTCAGTTAGCTTAACGCAGTACAAGTAGCAATGTTTTTTTTTTATAATTAATAATAAGTCATAATTTAATTTATCCATTTAGCAGACGCAAAGCGGCTTCGTGCATTAAGGCTATATATTTTTTTACCAGTATGTGTGTTCCCTGGGAGTCAAACCCACAACCTTTTGCGCTGCTAACGCAATGCTCTACCACTGAGCCACCAGCCTATCCATTGTTGTTGTTTTTTTGGTTTCTGTCATTTTGTGTTGGTTGCAGACATCACTGTGTTGCTTCAGCTGGTTTCTTGTCTTGCTTCTGGCCACAACATCATTAGATTTTCATCACTGCGTTGTTCATTTCAGAAATCAACAACCGGTTTACGTAACATCACAAATCCACACGATTCACAGAGACAAAAAGCGTCAGTGCGTCATATGAACTTTTCAATGTCAGTGAGGCAGAAAGAGTTTCCTCCCGTCCGAGTCAAAACTCACAGAGCATAACCCATTTCCCAAACTCCTCTATTCACTGTCATATTCATAACTACAATATGTGACAGTTGACTCTATGAGCGGATGAGGAATCCTGTCGTCTCCCTGAATGGGTCTTAATCTCACATATGATTTCTGTTATGTGTTTTTAACATATTCTGCTTTGACTGATGATTTTATGTCATGTTCCTGCTTGTTGACTGTTTGCAGGACTCATATAAGAGTCCAGACATGTGGAAGTTATACAGAGTCACATACAGGCCCTGTTTACTATTATAGATCAAGTGTGCAATATCTGTGACTACTAGTGGCACAAAATGGAATTGTAATCTATTTATTTTTTATTTTTTAGATAATAATAAACCTATAGCCTAGTTTGGAGCGATGCTACTTGTTGAGATTATTTTTTAACTTGTTTGGTGCCACTAGTGGTGCAAAAATGGCCCACTTTGCTTTTAAATACGAGTGTAAACAGGGTCCAGAACATTTTGTCACTCACTCAAACCGCTTTCAGAGCTGATTATCTCCAGATTCCCTGACGCATGGTTCTGGTTTGTCCATTGGGTTGTTTTCTCTCTGAGGGGGGTGAAGATCTGCCGTGTTTGTCCTTTGCACCTCAGTGTGGGGCCATCTGATAAACTGCATTGGTATGTGGTCGTGTGTTTACGGAGCAGATGATTATGTGGCACTGCAGGAGAGATCCTTCAGACTGTGATTAAAACTAAAAGTCTAGCTATGTCTTTGAATTGTAATTATGTGGGAAGATTTGCACTTGAAAACAACAACAAAAGTTTTGGATCAGCAAAAATGTTATGTTGTTATTTTCGTGTCGTGGCTTGATTCTGCCTCCACTTAAAAAGATCATTAATATCTTGCAACTATAATGTTGTATACTAACATATTGTAGCCAGCAAAGCAATGCAATTATGTATTATGTTTTAATATTGAATTTCACAATTTGTATTTGCACTAAATTTTTAAGTCAGTTTTTAAGTACTTTTATTTCGCAAGGATGCATTAAATTGACCAAAAGTGCCAATAAAGACATTGATGATGCACCAAAAGATTTATATTTTAAATAAATGCTTTTGAGTAATGGCTGCTGGAAATTCGGCTTTGCCATCACAAGAATAAATTACATTTAAAAAAATATTCCAATTGAAAAGTTATGTTAAATTGTAATTACTGTTTTTTTTTATATATCAAATATGCTGCTTTTGTGAGCATAAGAGACTTCTTCAACATTAAAATGGTACTTCATCAACTTTTTTTACATTTCACTTTCTTTCCCAGTAATAACGCAGTTTTGAAACGGGCTTCCATAGTAATATATTGTGCAATCCACACTGGCAATAACATTTAGAAATTACTGTAAATAAGGCAATAAATAGAGTTTAATATAAAGAAATTAATAGTCTGTACAGATAATGAAGCGAGGTAGATTATGTTCACTGCATAATTGCAGGATTTATTTGGTTTTGCATCTGTACAACACTTAATTAACCAGTGTAACACAAATAATAAAATATTAGAAGGCACACTATGGAATTTGAATAGATTGAAGAGAACTGGAACCTTGTTAAGTGTCTTTACGAGCAACCTTTGGCTAAAGTGCTCAATGTGTCAGTTTGAGTGCTATTGATTATTCAGGATGCAAACAGCTGCACAGAAACACATTCACACCAGCAGTCACTTTATCACTTCCATAAAGCAGGACTGACTGTGAAGCTCATCTCGTAACAGGA